TTTGCAGTATCATTGTTGGAATGTCCACTCTACAAGCTTTAATTTTGTGACTTGAACAATTATTTCTAAGATGGCAATATGTAATCCATTAACTAGTGATTTCCTACTGCGCATTTTTTTATTCTGTAAATCTGTATAACTTGTACCCCTTCACTGTTTTTTTTTCTTTCTTTTCTTTTCTCCTTAAATAAAAATTAAAAAAAAAAAAAAAAAGAACCTTGCAGAATTTAGTTAAGTATGTACACATTCTATGTTGCAACTATATAACTACTATCCTGGGGATATTTTCATACAGGTGCATAAGAAATTATGCAAGAATATTAATTACAATATTACTTGTGGATGTTTTCCATTGGGAGAAAGCAGATGTCTATAATGTGGATAAGCACATAATTGAGTATTATGTAGCAGTTAGGAATAGTGGATTAGATATGCATACAGAAATATGAATCCTAGCAAAATATAGCCCACTAATGCTCACTGGAAAAAAGTAGAAAATAGAGTGAGATGTTTAACATAGTCATTCATGTAAAACATGCATGTAAAAGATTACAAAGTTTGCAAAAACACATGCAAATAAAAAGATGTACACTAAATATATTAAAGTATTTGCCTATGGTGAAAGGAGAAAGTGAGTGGTGACAGATACAAATGGAAATTAATTCAGATAAGTTAATTTATGAGTAAAATAAGGGAGAGTCTTTCATGGGTCAAAGATACCACTGAACCAAAGATACAAAGACAAAGAAAGAAAAACTGTTTTCCAGAGTATTTCCCCTGTTTGTAGCACCAGCTGTCAGATATACCATGATAAAGTTGGAGAGGAAAAACTTCACTATACCACTTTACACTTCAGATGCATTCTAGGATCACACATCTTTAGTGTATGGCAAATAAAAATTTCCCCATGAACAAACACTAATAGTTATGTGGAAATACGTATATGTAGAATTTTTTATGATAAAAATATTATTTATTAAATGTAAACAGTTAAAAAATGATTACAAATTTTGTCATTTCTCCTCTCTGCATTTATCAGTTATATATAAATACAAGTAACTGTATGTTTAGAGGAAAAATAACAAGAAGAATGTACTAAGGGTCTCGAAAAAATGAAATAGACCTAAATATTTCAAGCTCTGTGAAGGCTATGATTAAGAGGACACACACACACACACACACACACACACACACACACACTCCCCACAGATAGAATTAGAAGAGCTACAGGGTTTTTTTTTTTTTCATTGAGTAAAATATAAGCTTCTATTTTTCCATATCTGCAAATACTCATCCATATCATCCTAGCTAATGGCTTCATGGTCATTGTGTAGACATGCCATGATTATTTATCTGATTTCCTATGGCTAATTATTCAAGGTATTTTAAATTTATCAGTGCTGTAAGTTTGACAGTAGTTAGCATTCCCAAGGTGAGACTTCTCCATCAGAGACTTTTACAAAATGTTTTTCTACGCATTTCTGGGTTTTCTATAGGAAGACTGCACCAATTTATACTTCCACCAAAATGGTAGTAGACAAGTCAGTTTCCTTAAACTTTTCACAGCACTGGTAAGGTCAATCTTCATAGTCATGCTCATTCTGATACCTGTTCTTCCTTTGAAGCCTAAGCCAGGAGTGGACTTTTTCAAGCTTAAGCAGACATCATGCTTGCTTGTTTAAAGGGATGGCTTCCCATGTCAGGGTACAAGTCAGCTTTCTCCACAAGCCAGGGAATGTTTATTCTGGTTTTCAGAGTTGAACTAAACTTTCCTTTTATGTGTGCCTGGAGTTTTGAGGTTTACTGGCAAGGACAGATTAAGCTTATTTCCAAGCTCAGTAAATTGATGGCCAAGGGAAGTGTTGTGAGCAGCCAGGGCCAACCTACACTGGAAAATCACTGTCAGGTCACCACTGAATGGCACCCAGGCCACCATCCTCAGATTTATGTTAGAATTCAAGTGAAATAAAATTTCTTATGTTCTTCAAAATTGATCTTTTGTTTAATCATGCTATTTGTTTCAGGCATTTAAAATTTTTCTTAATAAGTTATGTATTTAACAATATTAACAAATCACCAACATATATCAATATTAGCATTTTGTATTTGGTCCATCAATTTTTTTTTTTTTTTTTGTCTTTTTCCTTTTTATCGGTACCAGGGATCAAACTCACAACTGTCTGCTTGCAAGGCAAGCGCTTATGCCGCTGAGCTAAATCCCCAGCCCCTGGTCCATCAATTTTTAAACTGAAGTGGTTATAAGATGATTATAGAAATCATGACATTTGATATTCTAAGAACAATTAAATTGTATACTCTATGCTGTTTTTCATTTCTGAATATTTAGGATACTACTTCCATAAATGAACACACACACACACACACACACACACACACACACACACACAAACTCATTTTTTCTGCCAGGAATCAGTTGTCCCCTCTCAATCTTTGCCCCTTATTTTACAATATGTTCAGAAGTGGAGCTCCTAGCTTTTTCTGTCAGCTGCAGAGATGGAGAAGCAGTTCACCAGCTTAGAGTTGTCTTCTGTCAGTTTAGAGACCTGCTGTCGTGCTCATGTGACATTGATGTTTCTTTTTAGCTTGATTTTTGGATACTGCAAGTGCTACTCAGCCTAGTTCCATATTTATGGAGTTATTTTTAAAAAAGATAAAGTCACAAATGTAGCTTAGCTCATCTTATTGTTCTTCTGGGCTAAGCTTGCTGATGGCTTCCAGGAAACAGGCACTGACTTCCCCCATGAGAAAACAGGGAAAGAGGGCTGCTGGCTGCAATCTAAGGCTGGCGGAGGACAAACATGAGTTGGTGGCAAATGTTGGGGATTATTCCCCACAAAAAAGACCTGGGATTTTTGGTAAGGGTGGCACATGCAAACTCTCAAACTAGTCAAGAACGAGTTCCAACCCCAGCCAGTTCTACTATATTCTGAGTGATCTTGGCTCCTCGTTTTCCTTTTCTAAGTTACAATATTCGTTTTCATTATTTAAGATTATTTTAAGAGCCAAACCACACCTTTCTGTCAGCAAGGGCAGCCACTATGGGGAATGTGAAGAGAATCAAGAAGCCAAACCACGCCTTCCAGTGAACCAGCCAGTGTGCGGCTCGGAGACAAGAAGAGAAACACCCTGCCCTGCAACGTCAGCATCAGGGCTGATTGGAAGGAAGTCAGGCTGAGATGATAACCATATGCATTATAGCAACTGTGAGGGATTTCCTTCTGTCTTGTTTTTGAAATTCAATGTTTTATTTCATTTTACTGATTTGTTTTATTCCTGTATCTGTCTGGTAAGCTGAGCAGCTATTTGGAAAATAACACATGCAATGTAACAACCATTGTTAAATTCCTGTCATCCTGTTCTGTAAACCTATATAGCTATTGTTGTTCTTGAAAATAAAAGATCAGATCCTCGGGTTCATAAGCGTGATGATTGGGTGTTCATGCTCTATGCATGACATGTGCCTCCTTTCTACCTTGTTACGACCTCGGCACATTACCCGTCTGACGTGAAAAAAAAAGAAAAGAAAAGAAAAGAAAAGATCATCTGAGAGATAAATTGAGTTAAAGTATATGAATCTTCTACCACAGCACTTATTGAATAAACTACTCAATAATTCGAGTTGCTATTATGATTAATCAAGACATGAGAATCATCTTCCCTTCTTTGGTGTTGCCTAGTATGCTGTAGTTCAAGGCAGCATTAGGTGAATTACAGCCCACAGACCAAATCCAGACCTCTGCTTATGAGCTAAGAATGTTTTCTCATATTTACAAATGGTTGCAAGGAGAGCAAAAGAATATTTTGTGACATATGCAAGTGATACAAATCCCAAACTCCGTAAGTAACATTCTGTCAGAATGTATCCGCACTCATTCTGTGCATATGTTTCTGGGCTACTAAGGCAGAGTTGAACAGTAGCAACAGTGACCAGATGGCCCATGAAGTAAAAAATATTTACTATTTAGCCCTTTGCAGAAAAGTTGCAGAGCTCTGCTTTAGAAAGTTGTTAAGCATGGAACTGTTGTACAGATCATGGAAAACACTGTTTTCTGTCTTCTTCCAACACATTGTAGTTTTGGCTAAAGGAACCATTTGTGGAAGCTCCTCTCCACAACCCAGGAGGCCTGTCCTTGACAATGGTGTTAAAGCTCAAGAACTGACTTTATGGAAGAAAAAGAAGCCCTGATGTGTACTGCTGGCTGATTTCTGTGGTTTGGATACTTACACTGTGGCTGATTTTAAATTTAGCAACATGCTCCAAATGGCTTGGAAAAATTCATGCAGTTTTTGACTATTGTTTCCAGTGAGCCGGGCCAGTCAGTGCTGGTGCACAACTGTCCTTGACTTCTCCCGCCAGCCTCATCACTGCGGTGCTCTGTGGAGCTTCACATCTGCATTGCGTTTTCCAGGGGGATCATAACTGGTAATTGAGTCACAGAGGAGGTCCGTGATTTCCACTTCTAAGGGTCTTATTTCAGAATATATTATTGAGAAATATTCATTACATCTGAGATATTCAGCACAGAAGAAAGCTGGCACACGTGTGAGGAGAAGTGCTACCAGTGAGGAAGTCTAAGCATTATGGATAGAGACCAGGCACAAGTTTTTGACTGGAGAGTTCAGGGAATGCCAGTGACCTACAGTTTTCCATTTTACCCTTGCTCCTGAATGCGGCCAGTAAGATATGCATGAGAATATCTAGTAAGAGAGAGCGCCTAGCCGGGAGAATTACAGTGCCAAGGTCCTGAGGCAACCGTTTTTTAATTCATTCTCTCCTCTGTGCTTCCCCTGGAATCTGGTCTTTCAAGGCTGGTTGTATTTTGAGGAAGCATACATTGATAGTTTATATATTGATTAGACTGTGAGTTCCTAAAAGTTTATAATCAGTCTTTGCATCTTGGGTATTTAGCACAATGTCACAATGTAAGCATAGAATAAATAGAGCATGCAACATGTAACATTCAGTCAAACTTCCTCACCAAGCCGAGGTGTGTTCTTCCCATTAATTTCCTTAGGATTCTGAGAGACACTGTTGTTTGCACAAGACAAGCATCTTCAGTGTCCACTAAGTCCTCGTCTGCTTCCTTGTGCAGCTTACACACCCATGTTGGGATTGGCTTTTCCTCTTCACAAAATTGAGGGAAAAAAGTTAAGACACAGAACAGTGAGGTTTTTGAACAAGTGCACAAAACTTTAAAAGAAGATCTACTGCAATTCTCCACATTCAGATGGGGCGCCCCAGCTAGGGGGTATAGAGAGACAAAATGCAGGTCTTTCTATTTGAGCATTGTGTAAAAATTAAAGAAAATCAACCCCAGTCATCGAACACCTTCTGAAGAGTTTTCATTTAGTCTTTTTCAGATCAAGGGTTACTTAGCCTTAAACTCATTCCTTTTCTTTCTCTTTCCCCCTTCCTCTGACCAGTCACTAATTTTTTTCTCCTTTCTAATCCTCTCCTTCCCTCCCCTCTTCTCTCATTTCCTTGCCCATGACTTGCTACAGAACAAGGCATACTTGAATCTGCACAATGTGGACTCACTTCTAGGCTGTTGTCCCAGGGTGATTTGGGCTGGGCAGGGATAGTCATAATAAGAGCCTGTGCTGAAAACACATTAACACATGAAGTGTTATTTTTACAATTGTTGTTTTTCTGATTGTAACCGTATTCTAGAACCATACTCTTGTAGTGAAGTTTAAGCATGATGTATAAAATCCTACAGAGAGTTTTGAGCACAGTATAGTTTGATTTAAGACCACTAACCATGTCTACAGGAAATATTTTGCTTAGAAAAACTGGAAGGCTTTGCTGGGTGAAGAAGCACTTGATTAAAACAGTAACCAAACCGAAGACTTTTCCTTGTCACTTGTCACTGTTTCCTCAATGATTCTCAAGTAAGGCTTCATCTGGACCACACAACACTTCTTCCTTCTCTCTCCTAGGGTCTATATATGTGTGTATTATTAATGTGCATTCTATACAGCAAGGGATAAAGGGACAGAGAGCCATCCAAGGCTTATCTTGCATTTGCTATGATTCAGTGTAAATACTGCTTTTCATCAACCCTGAGATCTTTTTTCACAGTTTAGCTTCTCTAATATCAGAATGAACTTCATAATCAATATCATGCCATAACTTAATTGGTAGTAATTTCTTATTTTTTCTAGTAATACACAAAATTTATAGTGTGTATGGCAATCAGTTGAGTCTTAGATTCAATGATATTATAACAGATGGAAACTTTGCCCTAAAGCTGAATACACCTGTCAAAGTCTTCAAAGGTCAAAAAATCATGGTGTTGCTCCATGAAAGCCTGTCTGAGTGACCTCCAGTATTACTCTCTAAATGTTCTTTTGTTTCTCTGTATATTAGAGAGTTAATTTTTAATGAATTCTTGCTATATCAAGGCAATAGTCTAAGTACTTTACTCACCTGTTCTCATAAGCCTTTGAGGAGTGGGGAAAGGAACCCTTCTATGGGTTGGTGGGAATGTAATCTTGAGCAACCACTATGGAAATCAGTGTGGAGATTCCTCAACACACTAGACCTAGAAGTTCCATTTGAACCAGCTCTATTCCCCTTCTGGGTACACTGTACTTCCAAAAAAGTTAAAGACGTTGTACTATAGAGACACATTCATACCCATGTTTATCACAGTACCATTCACAAGAGCTAAATCTTGGAAGCAGCCTACATGTCTATCAGCAGATGAATGGAAAAAGGGAAAAAGGAAATGTGTTTACACACAACAGAGTACTACTCTGCCATAAAGGTAAGCTCGAGTTACTTGTAGGAAAATGGATGCAACTTGAGATCATGTTAAATGCAATAAATCAGAAACACAAGTTTAAAGATCACATGGTTTCTCGTGTATGAGAAACTCAAAATATAAATAAAGAATAAAATAAAAGAGAGAGAGATCTTTCTCACATGGGAAGGAGATAAAGAGATTTAGTGGGGAGGGGAGGCAGGGAGTGAAAGGGAATGCAAAAAAGGAATTAAGAAGTGTTATGTATGAGTATCGAAGCCACACAAGGAACGTTAACATTATGTACTGGAAACACGTACCAATAAAAAATAAATGTCTTATTTTTAATTTTTTTAATTTTACAGACAACAAAAGAAAATAAAGCAAAGCAGAGCAGTACAATGCAAGCCACACAGGACTTGAAAACAAGATAACAGGAAATCAACAGTGGCTACCATAATGTCTCTTCAAGATAGTTGTCCATACCTTCACACACACAATAAAATCAAACAAAGCAAAATAGTATAAAACCAATCAAAACAAAAGAATAAAAGCATTATGAGACTTCAAAACAAGACAATGGAAAATCAGCAATGACCAACATAATGTCTCTTGTTTTCTTCAAAATAGATGATACCATCATACAAAATAAAATCAAACAAAACAATAAAATCAATGAAACAAAAGAATGAAAGCATTTATAGGACTTCAAAACAAGATAATAGGAAACCAACCATGATTATCATAATTCATCCTATTATGTTCAAAATAGCCCACATTCTCAGACACAGTAAAATCTAACAAAAAAAGATAGAACAAAACCAAACCTAACAAAATTGTGAAAGCAATACAAGAATTCAAGGCAAGGCAATAAGAAATTAACAGTGGTTATCACCTTCCCCTCCTAGGTGTCTCCTCCCCTATTACTTTTGTAATATCTATTGTACTTTTTGGATCTCACTCTTTTTTTAATGCTAGGGTTCACGCATATGAGTTCAAACCATTTCACCTATGAACATGATCTCCAGTTGTATCCATTTACCTACAAGAACCTCAAGATTATCCTACTTTATTGCTGGGTATAGCTATAAAGCTTGTAGCTTGAATCCTTGTATTGTTTATGGAAAGCTTATAGCTTTCCATTGTATGAAAATATCATATTTTTCTTATCCATTCTGTGGTTTATAGGCAAGTTATCCTTGCTTATTTCTGGTATCCTGTCACATGGAACAATTGTTTTCTCTCCTATGTTTTTCAGTCTATGAATTTCCTTTTGAATAAACATGTTCCTTGTATACTATATATTGATGGATCTTGTTTCTTGATCCACTCTCCCTGTGTTTCTTTTTATTGCTGACTTGAGGCCATCTACATTAATGGTTACAACCAGCACACATTGGTTTGTTTCTGCCCTGCTATCTTCCTGTTGTTGGCCCTTTACTTGTCTCCTTCATTCAATTGCCTGTCCTATTTGATGATCCTCCTTTGCTGCTGTTCCTGGAACCATGGTCATCTTTATCTCTCTCTAGACTATTCTTCAGCACTCTCTGTAGGATTGGTTTGGTGCTCATGAAATTCTTCAGTTGTTCTTTGTCATAGAAGTGTCTTATTTTTCCATCAATTTTGAAAGATAGTTTTGCAGGGTACGTCAATCTGGGTTGGAAATTGTTTTCCTTCAGGATTTGAAACACTTCACCCCAACCTCTTCTTGACCTGATGGTTTGTGTTGACAAGTCTGCTGTGATTTTGATTGGTGTCCCATTATAGGTGATCTTTTTCTTTTCTCTAACAGCTTTTAATATTCTGTTCATGTGCTGAATTTCTGAGATCTTGATTATTATGTCTAGGTGTAGATTTACTTTGGTTATAGCTAATTGGAGTCCTATATTCCTTGCTTATCTGCATCCCAGATCCTTTCTCCATGTTTGGGAAGTTTTCTGCTATTACTTCTGTAAATAGTCTCTTTATTTTATTTGTGTTTACACTGCTTCTTCACTGATAACTATCACTCTTAAATATTGCTTCTTTGTGTAGTCTTACACTGAATTGTTATTTCCTAGTTCTTTGTTATTTTTAAGAGATCTTTCCTTTCACAATCGCTAGCTGCAATCCTGTTTTCAAGGTCAGAAAGTCTATCTTTGGTCTGTTTGGTTCTGTTTGAAAGCAAACAGAATCGCCAGCTTCTGATCTATTTTTTAATTTCCTGGATCTCTCTTTGAATCTGTTTCATGCATTGTAATTCTTTGCTATATGTTCATTCGAGGTTTCCATCATTTTCCTATGCTATTCTCTTTTATCTATGTCTTCTTTAGATATGCTCAGCAATTTTTTCATTATGTTTGTGATTTACCTGAGACATTATTTCTGATCTGATTACTTTTACAGTCTCATGACGTTGTTTCTTTACTTCAGTTACTGTCCTCTTGGAGATTGCAAGTGTGTGAGTTCCATTTTCTTCCATGATTGTATCTCCGAGACTTGTGTGGCCTGGAGGTCTGAGATTGCCTTTTGCTGTTTTGTCTTGGCATTCTCCTGGGTTCCTTCCAACAAGCTGGCTATGTGGTCCCAGGCCCTTCCCATATTGGCTGCTCCTCTGTGGTAGAGGGGAATGGGACAGGCACCTGGGTTTCTCTGACCCCAGGTTTACAGGAAGGTAGTGGGGCATGGGACAGGCTTCTCCAGTCTTATGCAGCTACAGTGGGGTTTCCCCAATGGCCAGGGGTGTGTGATGGTGGGGCTGCTTGTCTCAGCCTGTGTGTCTACGTTGGGACTCCCACGATGGTGGCAGGCATGTAGGAGTGTGTTTGTCTGATTCTCCTGGTGGGTGGTGGTTTCCTGAGGGAAGCAAGGGCCTCCAATGGTGGCCTGTGGGTGCTTGAGGCTTACCTAGCTGCATCTCCCTGCTCACACTGGCTTCCTACAGAAAGCAAGCCTTCTGATGATGGCAGCCAGCAAGAGAAGGCCGATGTCTTAAATTTTAAAAGCTGCAAATTGATTAGTTCCTGCTGCAGATTAGAACAGCTGTTTCAGGGAGAAAACTTTCAGGAAATGATACTTGCAGAAATGGGAACAGATGGAGAGGAGCAAGCTTCTTCTTCCTTCTTGGTCCTTCCACTGTCTCTCCAGTGCTTACTTTGAGGAAAATACTAGCAAACCAAACAGACCTGTGCTGTCCTCAGGGTTCTGACCATCTCTCTGTATTTCTTTCTTTCTTTCTTTCTTTCTTTCTTTCTTTCTTTCTTTCTTTCTTTCTTTCTTTCTTTCCTTCCCACAGTGTCTCATTTGCAATTGTGTATGCTTTTATTCTTCAATTATGTAATATCAGCTTTTCTTTGCCTATGGGCTTGGTCTCTTTATAGCTTTTTAACTGTTTTGATCT